CATGTTATCTATGTTAAGAATGCATTTTTGGCCATTTTTTCATATTTTCAATCAGTCCACACATTGTGAAACTGATCTAAAGAGCATAAGACTGCATAAAATGATTTCTTAATTGTAAGTTCCCAGCATGCAGTAAGTCTGACAGACAGTATTCCCTCACAAAGCTCTAGCAGTGCGCAGCAGACAGGGCTTGAGGTCACTGGCACTGGCTCTAAGGAAATCTCACAAAGTGGGCAGTAGATCAGGGAAAACTATACTGAGTCCAATTAACCCACTGGAAAAACTCCCCCAATGCTGTTGGAGTGGGTGGAGAAAACTTGGTCGAACACTGAATGGCCCTCAGAGACTGATCGTAGCAACCAGACATTTCCTGTTCTAACAAGCTGGAGAACTGGTAAAATAAGATCACTTTTGTCATGAGAATCACATGAACTGTAAGTCATCTGAAGGGTCTTGCATAAAGATATGTCTTTCTAGCCATGATATGAAGAGCTTGTGCCAAAATCGCACAAAGTTACTGTGACATTTATGGTGTTACAACACACATCACATCATAAGAAAAAGGAGGAAGGAAAGAAGGCAATCATCTCTCATCAAGACATTACAGTTATTGTAGAGTGGAAAATCATGAGAGGGTTATGAATCATTTTTCATGTCGGACCATTCTGGGCAAACATTCACGTTCCTGTGGACAACCAGAGTCTAAAAGCAGGAGAGACTATTTCATTGTCAAACACAAAAGTTAGTTTTAAATGAATAGCTCTTTTCGTAATACTTACTGTTCCAAAGCAGCGTTACAAAAAAATAGTGCCTTAGTATCCCTGAGTGATCATGTCAAAGGTGACCGTGACAAAGAAAGCAGCCAGTATAATGTTTAAACCACTGCACAATATGCTTTTGCTTATTGTACTTTACCTTCAGTTTGAACTTTATGTTTTTATATCAAGGCAGCAGCAATTGATTATCAAAATATCCATTCATAGAGTGTCCTGGCACTGCAGCACTGTGAGTATAGAATGAGCTTGTTATTCCAGGAAAAGTTTAATCCTGAATGTGTTCAAAACAACAAAACAACATTCTGTTCAGTGCAGTTCAAGTCTCATAAACCCTTAATTGGTCAGATTTCAGTCTGAGAAGTTAGTCCTCGGGACTTTGTGTAAACCTAGCAAAAGTGAGAGAATAGTGGATGCAATCATTTCATTCATTTAGTTGTAATCGACAGTCAGAGCTGAATGAGAGACTGTAATTGTTCTGTTTTCAGTATCCTCAATATTATTTAATATAAATGTGACTGAAACTTTAATATGCAGCCCTGTTTATACAACAGAATACTGCAATTTCTGTTTATCATCACAATAAATTTTAATAATTGCTACGTTCTGTGCACTGAGTCTCATTTGAGTTCATTCACTATTATGAATTTAAATGACACATCAACATTCAATTTCACATTCAGATAAGGAATGCTTTTGTGTTTGGTAGTGCATATCCTTCACATACAATAAGAGCATTATAGAGGCTATACACCACACTAAACATACAAAGTTTTAAATGTACTCATTCAAAAAAAAAAAAAAAATCAAATCAAATCAAATCAAACAATAAGAAATATGATTTTTAACTGTTTACAGTATTTATATTTTAAAATGTATTTACTTTGTTTGCATTTGGTTGACATTTTAAGGTATGTTGTTGTTGTTGTGTATATCAGTAAACCAAATTAACCCTTGCACTTTTTGGAAGTCCTTTAAAAACGAATTCTTTAAGTTTAAGTTTTCTTTACCTTTTATTAAAAAATCTTCCCTTCACTGGAGATGCAGTTAGAAGATGATGGAAGCATGATTTAGCTTTGGAAATTTGGAATTGTGGAGATCAGAGAATTCTCAACAAATCCTTAACCAGCAATTGAGAACCAGTTCAAAATATTGATAAAAATAATAATAAGCTAAGTAGGTCATTCATCTCCACTCCTTCCGAAGTGCAGGACAGGTACAAGTTCCAGAAATGTACATAAGTACAGAAGTTTTGGACAGAAAGTATTTCATAGATGGGTAAGATTGATCATCCTGTAACACTCACATTATTATAATGTATACTAGCCTTTAATGCAACAAGAGAGACAATTTTAAAACTTTAAATAGCAGATAAAAAAAGCATTAATATCTCTTTGGTTAAAAGTTATTTTTCAGTATCTCCCACTGGAAAGACTGGCTGGTGGCCATCAGAGGGTGGGCCATTCCTGGTTTTGAACACCATTCTTAACTGAGGTGACTCATCATTGTTGGATGATTTTTGCACACTCGTAAAGTGATCTGTTTGTGTATTTTTCTAAAATGCATTTTAAAATATTTTTAACTTTTTTTTTTTTTTTTGTCATTAGAGACTGGTTTATATGGCTGTGACAAGTATAAGTAGGTGATAAGCAGCAATGTTAAATGTTATTAATGACCCAATTTTTGTGTTTGTGTTTGTGTGTGTGTGAAGGTTTTTTTGTTATGTTGAATGCAGAAATACATAAAGTATTTAATTAATAACTATTATAATAACTATAGATAATCTCAGAAATGTGTTGGATATTTGAACTGTAACTGAGCGCGTATCCAGGACCACATTACAGTTCATTAGAGGAGAAGAAGAACGATGGGTCCAAGATGTTCTGCCGTATTTGGAATGAACACGGCGAACCTTGCAGTGCTTCAACAAGAAACCTTTTAACAATCCCAAAGTACAGTCAGTACAACATATAACACAACTTTAATTTGAAATGTCATAGTGCTGTTCTTAATAGGATGTCACAGAAATAAAGTGATTCACAAATGTGCAATCAAACATGTCTGAGGTACATGGCAGCTTGTTAAAGTTTCATTTTGGCAGTAAACAAAGCTCTTAAACTTAAGTGTTGCCATTATATCTATTCTGTGGCTTGTGGCTTACTGAGAACAGCTGAGACCTGAGGCAAGGATTAAATGACACTTCTGCCCAAACATCTGCTTGTGTTTCTCCAGTTCTATTTAAGAAATTGTAAATAGGTACAATTTCCTCTTGACAAACAAATTATCATGATGTCGTCAAAGCAAGCACTCAACTCTGAAAGCTAGCATTAGCTAGTGCTTTCAGTAAGCATTCACATCTGAGTCGAATCATACATCCAGGAGAGCTCTCCATTTTAGTTAGTCTAAACCAAGCATGCAAACACCAAACCTTTTTTAGGAATGGTCAGCAGAACAAAATATTTGCAACACAAAGGATGTCTGTGTAACACCAAAAATTATTTCCAAATATCTGTACAAAAAGCTGACATTCCTTATCTAAATGTGTCTTTCATTCATATATGTATATTCACTGGTGAACTGAAACTGTGCAAAGTTATACAATAAAAATGTATTAATTAAAAATTTCCATCTATATTCTTCATGTAGTGTATGTATGTATTAAGCATACTTTTTAAAAAATAATATCGATTGACCAGGGTGTCATTTTATGTTTTTTTTTTCTGAATCTGCTACACATTTTTCTGTAATACAAGGGTATCAGTATCACATTTGTGAAGTTGTTTGCTCTGTAGTATCAAACACTATTTCCAAATAACTGTCCAAAAATGAGAAATTCCTTTATGTGTATTGGCTAGACACTTGATACTGCAAAGTCCTAAAATAGTAATTATAAAAACATGCATTCTTGCGATGTTTGGCAAACATAAGAAAAATATTCTGCTTATTCCATCTTGCATATTCTCTATGTATCTCTATGTAACACTTTTTATAAAACTACATTGACTGGAACATCAAGGTGTCATTTCATGGTCCTTTCTACTTCAGTGAATGTTATCATATAAAACACACTCACAAATCTGTTTTGCATTATAGCGAGACATATAAAAAAGGCATATACCTCTATGAACCTGCATACATACAGACATACCATTCCAACCCGGCTCTGTTGATATCGTCCCACCAGCATTCGTTGGGCTCTCCCCAGTCATAGGGAGTCCTCTGGCACTCAAAGTTCCACAGGCGGTCCGAGCCTTCCTTCTCACTGAAGTAACTCCTGATTGCCACTAAGACCTCACCATGGGGACACTGAAAGTTGAAGCCCTGGCGCCAGGTATTCACCCACTCCTCACCGGTATCATGCATGTAGCCGTGCTGAGCGCTGGCTGTGGAGAAAACCATCAGCAGGCACAGAGCTTGCAGAACATGTGCTGAGCTCATCCTGAAGTCAAACTCTGTGGAACTTCTCAATGCTTCCTCCGTCTTAAAGGCTCCCTGGGATGTGCTGTCCAGATGTTCTGTGTCCGGATCCAGGGGTGATCATTTTCACCATAACCAGATGGTTACGGTCAGGGATTGGACTTTTTTGTATTGCTAAGGAGGATGTTTCCAGCCTCCTCCCAGACTGTGCCGTAGACCCTGCGTTAAATTTTTTTTTTAAGAGAAATCTCACTTTAAGGCCAAACATTTATGTAAACAGAATGGGTTTAGTTTCAATCTATCATTCATTATGTTAAACAATGTGATGGAATGAGGAGCTTTCACAGGAAATAACATTTGGAGTGAGAAAATTTGTCATTTTTAATGAAAAAATACACTCTAAAGATGTTGCTAAATAGCACTAAATGTGGTTTGAAACATTGGCCCCTAATCATAGAGGAACCACTTCAAGTGTTATATAGCACCTATGTTTAAAGGAGCTATAATGGTGCTATGTAGAACCATAAGAGTAACCCCATTCTCCTTCTCAGATTTTAGATATGCTACTCCACTCTCATATGTTTGCCATAAATGGGAATTTACTACAATGGAAAAAGCTGAATCACTTTTGAATCACTTTTATGCTTTTCTGAAGTCAAAAAGTCTTGTGTGGGGTCCCTGGATTATTTTCTTATAGGGGGGCCTTGGGGGCAACAAAGTTGAGAACCACATTATCTTCAGAAAATACACTGTATTTTAATGTTGTTTTAATCCTTTCCCCAACTAAACTAAGAGACTAAGAGAGAGTTAGAGAACCTTTAAAGAATTATACAGGGACTTATGGCAGTGGTGCTATATAGCTTCTTAACCATCTCAAAGAACCACTGAAGAACCATTTGTGTGTGTGTGTGTGTGTGTGTGTACACTGTAAAATGTGAATATGGCTTAAGAATTACTTTCATTGGTGGGTTACAGCCAAATTTATTCAGATTAATATGTGGTCATGTTAAAGGAGTTCACCCTAAAATGAAAATTTGCTAAACTTTTTCAGGCCATCCAAGATGTAAATGCTTAATTAAGATGTTTAATTCCTCATCGGAACAGATTTTGAGAAATTTAGAAATAAAAATGTAGTGATAAAAGAATTTATTCTCAATAGCTTTTGTGAGAGCTCTTTAGTTTACATTTAGCTATAATATAAACATTCACACCATGTAGACTTGCTATATAGTATATATCGGTTCAGCAGTTCTTTGAGGTGGTTGAGGTGCTATATATAGCACTGCTACCATAAAGAAACTGTTAAGCCCAGTATAGTTCTTCAGCGGTTCTTTGGGGTGGTTAAGATGCTATATAGCACCACTGCCATAAAAAGAAACTGTTAAGAACCCTGTATAATTCGTTAAAGGTTCTCTAATGCTCTCTTGATCTCTTAGTATACTTGAGGAAAGGATTAAAAAATACAGTGTATTTCCTGAAGATAACATGGTTCTCAACCTCTTTACCCGTAAGGCCCATTTGACAAAGGTGCTGTATAGACCCTTTAAAGGTGCTATATAGCACTTTTAGTGCTATTCAGCACCATTTTTAGAGTGTATTTCTAACTTTAAATGTATGACTGGGTGATAATATAGTTTACATTTTTGCGGCAATATGAACAATCCAGCAATTCAGTTGCGGGGTAAAACGGAGCACCCACAGGAACCCCGGGAAAAACATGCAACTCCACCCAGAAAGGTCTCATGGCCTCAGTGCTACCCACTAAGGATATCTCTGACCTCTTATGGAGCTATTTGTACATCATTTAACCATTAAAATGACCCAGTTAATTTAGATGTTACAACATTAAACATTTTTACACACACATAAAAGTTAACCTATTTCCCCCCCCCCCCCCAGTTGTCTATTAAATAAAACATGATTTTAATCAAGTCAAAAATATTATTTAGCATCTCTGACTTAACCTAAATATATTAAGTTACACCAGCCAAACTAAATGCAAGGATTAGATCAGGCCTTAAATGCAACAATTGCAATTTTTGGGTTACCTAGCAAAAGTATGTTAAGATTAAATAGCAATAACCCTTCAGAAAGAGGAGTACTTGTAGTGACCTCTGGTTCAGAAGTTACTCAAGGTCACTAATGTCAGAGAAATTTGTGTTATGCGTGTGTCTGTACTGATGACAGCATTTTCTTCCACTTAATCGGCTGCTGGATCAGCACTGGTTTTACAGTAGTTTCAGTCCATTTCATCCTCAACTTTACCTTCAAATCCAAATGTATTGCTATTTGATATTTAGTAACAATAAAACCAGATCATTTACTATGTCAGGCCACATCAGATGCTGTAAGCCTTTGATCCCCTACAACGTTATCTCTGAGATGAGCCTAGAGACAATCTTGTAAAACACAAACATTTATCTCTGGAGTGCAGATAACAATCAGTGTTTAGGGCTTCTGCAGGGTTCTTTAAGTTATCATAGTGTTCTGTTTAAACATTAACTTGTCTTATCAATAACTGGATGCAAAGCAAACTTTGTACTAGCATAGGGACTAACAGAGCAACAAAGCCATAATGTGGCAAGTTGAGTCATTAAACATTTGAAGACCTAAGCCAAAGTCAAAGTCGATATATTTACATTGTACAGGAGGAAACTGCATGGAGTTTTTTCATATAAACCACTGTGCAAACATGTAAGACCTCACCTAAAGCAGACACGTAACATAAAACAGTCCAGGAGAATGGCACAAGTTATTACAACAGATATTGACAGTATAAATATACTGTTGCAATATTGCTTTTTAGACACAATATACAGTGTAGATGGTGGAAATGGGACGTGGTGCAGAGAACCAACTTTTATATTATATTATATAGTTTACATTTTGTAATGGTATAAACAAACTGCATAGCCAAGATGCACTAAATGGTACAGTTTATTGCTTTATATATAGAACTGTGCAATAATGTAGTTTACGTTTTGCAACAATATAAAAAATCAATCTGGTTCAAGTTGTTGCAACAAATGTAAATGTATTGACATACATACATATATAGATGTATGTATGGTGGAAATGGGACATGGTGCAGAGAACCAAATTATTATATTATATTATATTATATTATATTATATTATATTATATTTTTATGAAATAATAAATATGTTATTTAATTTTTTTAATAATAAGGATTTATGCTAACATTCCCCAAATCCCGTTTTTTTATTATTATTATTTCTGATGTTTAAATTGCCTTAAATATCCACTTTTTGGCTGTTTTCCTGTTTACATGCTCTCTACAGTCCTTATACATTACATGTACACATCTTTGCATTGCTTTGACCGTTCTCTGTAGATCCCACCTTCTCGTACCCCACGATTGGTCGAATATGAATGCCTGCACGCTATTGGTCAAACGACTTTTCAGTCATTACCTTCAGCAAGAATGAAAACAATATAAAAACAAAGCCAAAACCTGGACACTATATGCAATTTTGAAATCCCAGCCAAGAAAAAGTGGACATGGTCACACGAGGAAAGTCTTGAGGAAATCTTGTCATCGGACATCAGCGCACTTTCTGAGATGCTGAAGGACTGTGTGATCCACATGACTTTGTGTGCTTTCAGTATATGCAGAAGCATTTTGGACCTTATAATTTGGACTTCTCCATCATGCATGCACTGATGTTTCCACTGACAGCTGATGTAACCTCCCATCGCATGCAACACTCACTTTAAAAATAATACAATTGGTACCATAACTCAAAATGACTTACAAGGCTGAACATCATAACCACAATGCCATCTGATATGGCCAAACATAGATATTGGCTATAACTTGAGCTAGTATAAGGTATAATCAAGCCTGGCAACTTCAAGGGGAAATTTATGAACTTTAAGAGTCCCTTGCTGCTTCAGCAGCTCTTATGTAAAGTATCGTTCAAGTAACAAATAATAAGATACACTTTACACGTTCTAGGGCCTCTCAGTAAAACAAGGTCCTCAGAAATAGCTCATAATCTTCCGTATCAGGCTATTAATGCACTGATTGTTTGCAGGTATCTGCAATGTAACGAGTAAAAAGAGCAAAAATTTTATATGCTCTTACATTTGTAAATTATGATTATCTTTATTTGAAAAGAACATAATTTTTTACAATATATTACAGTAATATTTAATGTCTGTTAAACAATGTCACCTCATACACGTAGGTAACCTGCTTTTAACCATTTTCGGTAGCATTTTTACATTCTGTTTCTATAAAAATAATGAATTTTTTTTACAGTGATATGTGGAGACATCTTGTCAGGGTTCTGTCACTTCGGTCTAGTGTAATTCATGGTTTTGTGACAGAGCCCCTGACACTCCCGTCATGTCTTTGTTTCATGTGAGCGTGCGGCTTCGAGAGTGCTCGAGCCGTGCGCTCTCGTCTGCGTGTACTGTTTCATGTTGGAGCGTGGTGTTCGGATCTCGGCACTCAGGTCTTGAGTTTCGGTTTCGTTTCGGGGTCCGGACACTCGCGCTCCATGTTCTGTCTGTTGTGGGAGCGTGCGGTCTCGAGTTCGCTCGGCCGTGCGCTCTTCTGTCCACGTGTTTTGTGTAGCACGCGGTTTGTGTTCAGCCGCGTGCTTTTCTTGTTGTCTTGTGTGAACACGCGGCTTATGAGTTTTCTCATTAGCTGCGTGTTCGTGTCTTTTTGTTCAAGCACATGGCTTATGATTTGTTTGGCTGGCCATGTGCTTGTGTTTTGTTTTGTGTGAGCACATGGCTTGTCTTTGTTTCCTGTATGCCATGTGCTCTCATGTCAATTGTCTTGACCCCACCCATCTTTTTACCTGATTATTGGTTAATTTGCCCCACATGTGTTCCCTCGTTACCCTCCTCATTTGCTCTCCATTTATTCTCCCTGTGTTTGCAGTCCTAGGTCAGTTCGTCACCATATCTTCCTGGATGTGTCGTGTCCAGCTCCTGCCTTGCCAGCCTGTTTTTCCCCCACGGGGTAGTTTTTGTTGTCTGTTTTGTTTTGTTTTGTTTTATTTTATTAATAAAGCCCTTATCTTCCCGCACTGAGTCCTCGCTCCATCCTTCATCCCCAACCCTGACACATCTTGTGTGCAAACATTAATATTAATAAGTGTTTCT